TTAATTCGCAGTTGACAACCAAAGAATATAAGAATGTTGTGTAGTGGGAATTTGCATCACAAAATTACAGGTGTACAAGTGGGTTGCATTATGTAGCACCTGGCATCAGATACATGTATATATTTGTTTGCCAACTGTTTTAACAATAATTAGTTAATATTCATATTTTTTCCAAACTACAAAATTGTATGTTTTAAACGTTTATTTCCTGAGCGGTTTTAGTAAAAGGTGAGTAATTTGTAGTTTAGAATGGTAGGGATTTACTTCAAACAATCATCTTCACTAATTCAATATATATTCAACAAAACTAAAATGAAATGCTCTTTGTCAGCGATATATGTAAATATACAATAACAATGTGTGACCTAAGTAAAAAATAGATACATTTTGTAATCTTTCAGTTGTGTTCTGATGGTCCACTTGGCAATTGTCAAGAAATGTAATTTCTGTACCTCCTCTCTTGGGTAACAGTATAAAAAAACTGCCCAATAGGATTATTGAACATAATTACTGTTAAAGTCACACTCGGGTTCATTGTATGGCAATCAACGTGATGGTAAAATATTTCACATTGCTGACCTGGCTGTGACCATCAGGATCATTACACATGAGAACCTGGTTCATTCACTGCCAGTTCTGTCTATCATGCTATCATATCATACCTGTCAACCCCTTATCAGTGCCTACCTTATTCCAGACCAATTCAGACTTTGTAACCCCGTGCTCTTAGAAATCTCAACGTTCATCCTCCAAAGTCCCATCACAAGGGAGAAACACAAACAAATAGACAAAAAAATATGTTTTGCCCGTTTTGAAACTACTGTATGCCGCATGGACCTGAAAACTCAATTTCCCTCTACAAGAATACGGGTAAACCGTATGGGTTGATAGCTATGTGCTGTGATCCACTCAGTTACCCAACATGGACGTTTTTATATCTATACTGCCATACCTTGCGCACACACTGAAGACAAAGCTAAAACTACATTTTTAACACGCTCGTTGCTGCTTAAAGGTAGGTGTTATTTTCATCCTGGGCCGTCTGACAAAATCTTGTATCTATAATAAAAGACGTAGATTGAAATGCTAAAACTACACCATCACGCTCTCTAGTGGCGTCCTGCAGTACACCTGAATTATATAACCAATTACTGTATGTTACATAAAAATAAAAAGGGGTATTTTCTGCCACTTTCCTTAGGGACCGTTTTGAACCTGTTACTTATTGCATCATTTTACTGTCCTGGTGACTTCGGTTACATGGTATTAAATAATACCCACTTGCAGAAGATTGTCCGATTCTAAATCAGAAAAATCACGTTCCTCCAAACACATTGGGAAACTTGAGCTGTCCATGCTGAAACACCTTGTACCTGGAGTCTGTACTGCTCCAGTTACAAGGTGCTTGTTGTTATCTCCCTTGCCTGGTATACAGGAGGACGTGGGTTTGATCCCGACCCTGACGTCTGTATATTTGGAGTTTGCATGTTCTCCCCGTGGTCACGTGGAGTTTTATCCCCTCATATTCTGAAACTCATAAAGTGGCACATTGCCATTATGACGAGCAAGTAGCTGGGTGGTATATTTTTTAAATTAAAATAAATAAAATCTTCCGCAAAACAAATCAGTTCATATTCAATTCAGATTACAACACATTACTTTTTGGTTGTACCGTCGTTTCATTGCTTCAGTTCTCAATAGCTAAAGTAGCATCAAAAAAATTAAGTTAGATTGAGTTTTGATTGTTATAGCCTCATATGAGTGGGGTTTCTGTGGGAAATTTGATTGCCTCCTGCATACCAACAGCAGCTTACATTTACAATGCACCCATAATGTAATCTCTCGGCACAAAAATACACTCGTAAAAGGTGCGCAGACTGTAGCTGTGTTTGCATGACCCCTCATTGTCCAGAAGGGTCATGGGGATCACCGGGGTGGGGCGTCTACCTACTTGGCCATCCCACCACGCCCACGGCTGTCTGGGTGGCTGTCTCGGAGGGCTGCATCTTTTTTGCAGAATAGTGAGGCGTGGCACGCTAGCACAGGCGTCTAGCAAGGGAGGGTGGGTTGTTTGGGCAGCCACTGAAGGACAAGAAAATTCTGCCCCCAGTGACATCACACACGACTGTGATGTACTTCCTGTGCACAGCCTCCTTTGGTTGATGACAGTGTAGATTGGAGGTGTGCTTTCCTGGTCGATCTGGTTTACCTCCCAGATTAGGTGGGTCCATGTGCTTTGGGTAGTGTAAACATTGGCATCGAGTGATATCTTAACCGCACTGGCCAGTATGGTGTCGTATGGTCAAACAGCCATTGCAACTTATACAACGTGGGGAGTCCTTTATTCAGCAGTGGATTAATAAAGTTGTAGGTTTACAAATGTTACAAATAATTACTGTGCCGTTATGTAACATACATTTGTAAATGTAGACCATGTTGGCGCTGTGATTACCAAAAGCTTAACATTTCATTTTTGTGTGTGGACTGTTTCACACACGGTAGTGTAGCGGTTCGCACGCTGTCCTATGAACCCGAGTTTGATTCCCGCTCACGGCCAACACCAGTGACGATTATCAGAACCGATCCTGGGCCTCTGCTAGGTCGACTCAGCCTAAAATGAATACCTGGTGCAGTGTGTAAATATTGCCACTAGGGAGACAAAGGCGGCTGGACGTAGTGTTCACCACCCACCCCCTCGTGTGCCGTGCCGGCCTTCATAGGTGCAAGCAAACGGCACTTGCCTCAACAGTCTGTTAAGGCTATACGGGGGATCTTTGTCGTGTTTCGTGGGTGAAGATAAATTCCCATCGGTATTCACGCATGAAATCTGTAAAATTATCTTTCTCATGAGAGCTGTAGTTGATACTGGTCGTTTGTGGTTGTTGAATCTGGTCGTTTGTGGTTGTTTATTGGCTGTTCAGATGTGTTACTGAGGAAACATTTTAGTGCAGGGTATCTCCTGACGAACTCAATCACGTGTGGGAATACAATTCACTGAGAATCATGTGAAAACTAAGACATCCTGCAATTAAAATTGCTTTACTTATGTTTATTATTTCAGTTAGGGATTATAGAAATCCAATTAAAAACCTTATTTCCACCAAGCGATTGGGGTTTGAGTCTGCTTGTTTCTGCTGCAGGTTTTGAGGAAAACCATCTGACATCTTCCCCATCCCTAAGTCTTGGAAACTGCTAGGTGATAAATTTCTCCAGAATTCTAAAATTTTACAAAAGTTTTTTGTTCACAGTTTCACCAAATAGGTTGTAGGCTGGTTATTCTCTACATGGGTTTTTATCTTACTTTGACCCTTAAATTTCTCTACCAGCCCACAGTGCCATGGTCAACTTTCCCATGAGGTTCCTGCAGACTGATGAATTAAATGTATTGTAGTTCCCCTACCTTCACTAACGTTGTGGTGCACTTAATAGCCTTGTTGGTTTCATCCAGCATGTTACTTATTGTTGGACTTTAATCCGTTATTCATGGAATGTGTTATACTGTGATTAACCTGTCAGGTGTCACAGCAGTAGAGCAAGTAAGTGGCTCAATAAGAAGACATTGAGTAAAGATCCTAATTGGGTGTTAAGACGGTGCATTTTCCCTCCAGGGTTAACAAAATGTATATTACATTGTGGACAAGACAAATTGTGTAGGGTATCACCCCTGCTATAGGAATGTGGAATTTCCACCACAAGCTTTAAGACTATAAACAAAAGATGAGCACTGCCTCAATGGACAAGGAAGGACAACAATGCGTTGCCAACCGTGCTAATCGCACCCTCCGATTAGCACGTTTGGCTACGTTCGGTGCGAAATAAGTTCAACATACAATACCTATTTGAGCAGTAAATCACAACGACTTTCCCGTTGTTGCACTAATTCGAAGTGTAAGATGAGCCTTTAAGGTCTCTACTCGGAAGGCTCAAGGGCATCTTGCACGTAAGATGCTAAAGCAACTACTTGTCAGAGTTGAGGCTTGATGTCCTCCACAAACAGTTATTGAGGTCAGCCAGTGGTGGAAGAATGGTAGTGCTCCATCTAGTGGCCTGAAGAGGAATTGTCTTGGGTTGAAGGCACGAAACATTGCAGAGAAAGTACCGGTGCTGCAATTTTTATTTGCGCAGGGAGTGACAGCTCTTCCATGAAAAGGTTTGACATTAGAATGTGCATTTGTCAGATATAGTTTGCAGGTTATGTTACACGCGTGATTATGTGATGATTAAAATGTATATTTTCTACACCAGCAAGATTCAGTGTACTGATTTGTGTTGATACTTCTCATAGATGTTTTGGAAATAGGATGAATGATTTGCGAATCAATGTGGCACAAAATGTACTTAGAGCAAATACAGCCAATTGCGTTAAATGTTTGAAGGTAGCGGCTTACAAAATCTGTTTTCACTCAGTATTGTTTGTTCATTGGAGTCATACTCATGATTGACACCACTTAGCACGGGATCGCTGACATTACCTAGCAAAGCTCTCATTATACGCCACTTACAGTTACTACCGTATTTAATCCCAACTCGTAATAGTGGAGTTATGCATCCATGCAGACTGGCAAAATGTGAGTGAATATACAACGTCACACCAGCGTTTGGGGCCCGTTATATTTATTCTCGTGTCCGTTTTTTTATTTCTCCCCCATTTGTTATTTTGTCGTAATATTACAAAAACAATCATTCGGAGCGAGCCGTTTTAATATTTTAGCCATTTCTCACTCTGTCAAATCCGCGGTTTCCAGACACATTTGGTAATGGGGCCAATTCTGTCCCCGTTCCCCCGGCCCGCCCACCCCGCTCGCCCACCCACCCCGCTCGCTCGCCCGCCCACCCGCCCCCCTGCGTTTTGGTGGCTGCTATCCGGTTCAGACTGGTTTGGCTGTGAAACGCGCAGAAATGAATACAGTACATGCCGTACGTGTTTGCTGCAGGCATCCCGTGACTCCGCTGTTGCTACCTGCTTCCGTATCCAAAGTCGTCACATGACCGGGCGCGCGGCTCCATTGGCCGATGTGGAGACGCGCCGTCACCCAGCCCTTTCGTTTAATGCCTATTCATTGGCAAGCCCCTTTAGCTCAAAGGGCCAATCGGCGTCGAGAATGCACCCAGGGCACATAGCAACAAGGGGGTATTTGCATAGGCGGTTTTGATTGGCCGTCTCATGTAGACGCATCATTGCTTGTTTTCGCTGTGATTGGCTATGCAAATGAGGCTTGTTGCTAGGTTTGTTCATGCAGGGCTGTGCAGATGGATGAGTCATAGCGACTGCAGTATAATCGTTGGTGCTCGCCTCTTCGCAAAGACTGGAAATGCCAGCGTTTTATTTTTCAAATAATGTAGTAACAGTACAGCATGCCTTAACGCGTGTTATACGCAGTGATGTATAACGCATAATGGCACTTTTTATGTCCGTGTAGTTTCAAACATTGAATTAAAGATCTTGCTTTAAAATGGTGTATTTAGTAATGGGTGATTTTAAAGATTTGCATACAATATGCAGCTTTTTTTCTAGCGTATAATATTCCGTAAGATAACGAATTTACGCCTTACATATGCATTTTTTTAATTAGTTAACGGTGACAACTTCAGGAAATGTGTATCGTGTTAAATACATTTTAAACAGCCGTACACGTGTATACAGTACCTTCTACAAAATGTAAAAAGTCAATCTACTTGCACATTTAATTACATTTCATGCAAGATACAGAATAAATATACTGTACTTGAACATAAAGACTATCAAGCAGTATGTACAAGTATTGATTTAAGGTTAGCTTACCATGTCTTGTCAATTGCCGAATGTGAGAATTTTTTGGACGTGTTAGTGCAAATCTATTTACATTTAACACCCTTTAGCTGGTTTTTCAGTTTATTAATGTATATTAAATACATGGGATATTGGGATATATACAGAAATTGTGAGCTGTATTATGTCCTGGAAAGGACACTTTCCACATTGCTCCGAGAGCATGTGTCTGCGCTTTAAATAGAAAGACAAGTGGAACAGGTTTGGGATGTAGCCTCCAAGCTATAAATGGACAGACCTGGCACAATGTGGCCATGTCTTGAACACACCAACGCGCCGAGATGGATGGGGGGGTTATCATTTGCATTTTAAAGTAACATTTTTAATATTCGTCTGGGTGCAGCAAATAACAATTTGCGTATTGCCAAGCGTACCTCATGTATTCGTTTACGATAGTGGAGTAATATTGTCATGTTATCAGCGTTGGATTTGCATTTTTTAAAGGGGAGCCGTAAGCCCATAATAGTAGCACCCCCCCTGTCCCTGTTGGGCTGAGCCAATCGAGTCGGCTGCCTGCGTCGCTTGGGTTTTCTCATTCATGTATACGAGTTGTCGTATTTTGAGGAAGCTAAGCAAATTTTGGTCGTTTTATTTCCATTTACTTTTGTAGTATTATTTTTCAATTTAGAAGGTATATTTTTGCCACGCATTGACAGGCGCGCTCCCGTATCCCCCGTGCGCGAGTGCGCCCCCGATGCCAGTGGCATGGAAATCTGCTCGCCGCTAACGACGCGTGCCCGGCCAATCAGCAAGACAGCGCCGCACGGGAAGGGCTTTTGCCGCCTTCTCATCCAATCGCAGCACTGAGCTTTGGAATAGCAGCGACGGTTGCTATCTCGTAGGTTTCCATGTATGATGATTATTACGATAGGAAGACCTCTACCTGCAAACTCGTTTTTGGGATGTTTTAATGAATCGGCATCGCAAGCTTTGAGGAGTGGATCGCGGCAGAAGCTGTGGCGGAAGACGGGACTTTGACCGATCGTAAGGGTTTCTCACCTTTTAGACGCTGTCAAATAGTATTCACAGTGCTTCAGCGACTAAAGTCATTGCCAAAAGTATTTGATTGCTCTCTGCTTGAAGACAAGTGCGGTACTTTATTTGTAAAACTTAATCACGTATTTGACAGTATTGTAGTTAATGGTTAATTTATATATTTATGCCAAAACAACCTAGAAATCTGACCGTTCTTACAGCACAGCACATCAGTATTGGCCTTTGACAACTGTAGTTTTATTAAACAGCTTTTAAATGTGCTACTTTGTTCTATATTGCTATAACTAAGCAAAATACATCTTGGACATAAAGTTCACAGAAAGGAATAAGGAAACATTTGACTCCAGCTGTTGGATTTACAAGCCGCGGCGAACGTGACACTGAACGCTCATGAACTTTGTTGGACCTTAATGATGCCAACACAATGAAGCACAGTGGAATCATAGTACTTTAATTCTGTCAAGAACAAACGTATTTATCAATGAAGAAGATAACTATTTTGGGCCGAAAGCATAGGTGGACAATTTGTCGCTTTCTCTACTCTATTTTTGCAGTTAATTCATATTCGACTGTGAATACCGTGGGAATGAACGCTTAACCACCTTTAAAAGGGAACCAGAATACAATTTTCGATCGGCAAAGCTCATCCACGACGAGATCATCCTAAGGAATACTTATTCCGACCTTGGACTTGTGGATTTAGTTTCCATGGTGATCACGTTGTGCTCCTTGACATCTTCGGCTTCGCACACGATGCTCGCAGCCCTGACGACAGAGTGGGTGGACCAAGAGCCCTTGGGCTACATCTGCCCTACGCGCCCCAACAAACCCAGCCATGGCCATAGTAGGTGCTCACATCAGCAACTCTCGCTCTCTTTCTCTGCTATAAAAATCACGTAACAGCACTGCTAACACGCACCCCCCCCCCCCCCAATGTTTTGCTTGCATTGCTGTTAATTTGTTGTCAGCCGCTAATCTTGTACTTGTACATTACATCGGAAGCATTCCAGTGTCCAATGATATACAAGTTGTAACATTAACATGTAATTCGCCACTCGTGAATTTTCTGCAGCATTTCAGCATTTTCACTGATGTAAATATGGTAAAAAGTTAATACATTTTAAAGTGCATTAATGGTAGAAATTTAACCGATCCTTTGTTCCTAGTGAAAATGTTACGATGGGTAACTAAATGGATTGGCTACACAATTTAATGTTTTAGTTGAGCTGTCATTGATTGGGAGATGCTTCATTTTGCTTTAATTGCCTCAATTTTTTTCCGTGTTTCTGTTGAGAGATGGGAGGAAGCAATCGTATTAGAATAAACAGTGCCTATTTGTATTTGCACAAGTTGTATTAGGTTGATTGTCAGCAATGGAATTGCTTAATATCCCACTGTCAGTGATTTGTGTCTGATCCGTTGTCTTTTCAGTACTGTACACTACCTGGTTAGTCGTCTGATTACATGAAATTTGTCACATGCATAATATTTCTCATTCTCCATGGAAACGTCTAACAAATGTGTACAGTACACTATCCTGCTCGTAGTAGGATCTTTATTGAAAGACATATATTGTTATCTATTGATTGTCTCTATACACATGGCACGTTTTAAAACAAGCTTGTGACTTGGACACACAGCAACATTGAACAACTCCAGTAGAATACGTAAGAGGGGGGGGGGGAGTACTTTTTAGGGTGTAATGTTCTGACAAGATTAAGATAAAATGCGTAGGTCCTGCAATTCGTAGTTTGACGGAAACTGAAACCTAAAATGTAAGCAGCTCGTATCCTGTGTAGAAATGTACCTGGCTACCCTGGCCTGCTTTACTTTGAGGCTTTGTTCATGAGAAAAGAGACTTGAATGCGACCACTGCGTACTGCCGTAACGCTGCAACGACGACATTGTAGTGACACACTCAAGGTGCCTCGTGACCCATTAGTACGTCACCACAGTCACGTGAAAGTATTTTTTTCTCATTAAGGAACTTCCGTTAAGGGTCAAAGTTAGGGGTAGGGCCATATATTGGAACTCGCGTTAGTTTCGTAGGTGTACCGCTAATTTTTGGTAGGGTTTATGGTAATAACCACTTGCCAAGCACAAACCTTCCACGCTGCCCTGACTGAAGATTAAGCTTGTATTGATTTCATGACTTGCTACGATTTGATCCTGTGGGCAGCTTCAAGAATACATTTTTGGGTCTCATTTTTAGTTATCGATATTGTTTCTTGTTTTTTTAAATGTAATGTGTATTGTTTTAATTGTACCATTAGCCGATTTGTAACAGCATTTAATTTTCATGTAATTTCCAGAAATTTAAAATAATCGATACCTACACGCACAGTTTGATGCAAATGTTAAGTATAACGATCCGTTTTAATTGATTAATTGATGCATTATTACATGGCTACTGGGAGTGGTCTCTTGTTACATAGCGTGTCAATGATGTCACCTACATGTCTCTATCCCCATGCACAACGAAGCTTAGCATGGTACACCTGTGGGGGAATCCATTCTGGGTGAGAATAGAGGTGTTTGTCTGTACACATGAGCGCTGAGTGGGGTGGGATCTCGTTGGGTGGCCTTGAGCCAATTCTGACAATTTATCATTTCTGTGGCGAGCCAAGGCTCTTGTACGGAGTGCGAGCACATTGACAATCGCTTTCACCAACTGGTCATCTTTTTGTTAGTTTAAATCACCCCAAATAATGTCAGCTTCTGCCCCTTCCGCACATCCATTTAAGTATTCAGTGTATATATTTTTGAACCACTTTAAATCACTTTTATCAGGTCTAACAAAAAAGCATTTCGCACACGATTTGTATGCAGTACAGCAATCCCTCGCCAATCGTGGTCGGCTAGACCTAAAGTCTTATGGAAGGAAAATAGGGGGTTCATTTCCACGGCCGCGATTAACAATCTCATCGAAGCCTAACTACTTATCCTATGCATTCCATAAACATGAGAAATATGTACAGTAATGCATCAGCAAAAATAAATTTCATATTAATAGTGAACAAAAGTACTTGTAATTACCTTTGTCATCGTTATCTGGACTTTACTCTCAATATTAGTGATGATGATGTTAGGAGGGGGTTGAGAGGCTGTCCCCCTCAGAACTTGTTTCTCTAAAGACAAACCTCTCCTTGACCCTCACCACCAGCTCGACACTTAGGGGCCATGGTTCAGAGCAAAAATGAGTGGCATTGTACAGTGATTACAGTACACTTTCACGAGGTATAAATTAAAGCACTACGCTTTGCCGACTGCTGCGCAACACTGAACGGCTCGGGCAAGGACTGTACGCGGGCCAGCGAGGGTACACGCGCCTGAAGCGCCCCTGCTGGCGGATGCTTGAACTCGGCTGGAGATTTGAAATCACGGGTAGCGGAAAACGAAACTGTGGTTACGCGAAACTATACCGTGGTTGGCAAAACGGTATATGTTATATGCGTGGATACCCGAAACCGTGGTTAGCGAGAGATTACTGTACTTGCTCTCATTACAGCTGTAACGAATATGGCCTCAGCCCAATCATCAAAGACTATACAAAAAAAAACTAAATAAAGTTTTTATAACACTTTCCAACGTTTTACCAATATTTGGGACTTAATAGGCAAATGTATCGAAAGTTTGGATAAAACTCATGATAAATGCAGATTTTCATTTTTCGAATGGCGATTGTCACACGGCATGCGAGCGCATCTGATATCGTCATGACATGTGGCATTACGCAGTGTCCTATGCCGTGTGATGTCATCTCCTTATCCAGCTCCAGTCCACTGCTGGATGAAGGCTAACTAAGCCTGTGCCATCTCTCGAGCTCTTGTGGTGTAAAAATCCATCGAACACCTTCGCAGCAACTCTTATAATCGCTCCCATCTGGTGGATATCCTCTCAGATGCATTCTTTGTCTTTGTTGCGACTCCTATCACTTTGTTGACCATCGACCATTCCTTCTAGCCATGACGTGTCCTGCACAAGTCCACTTTTCGGAACAGTTTTAATGATGTCGTTCACCTGCGTATCTCTCAAAAATTACATGCTTCCATGGAAAAATGCATATTGCAAATGTTACAGAAACCATGTTTATATGGATATAGGACCCTTACAATTCAATACCATGGTGTTATGTTCTCATATTTTATTTTAGCATGCACCCATACTGAGACAAAAACATTGGTTTGGTTGCACAACAAACACCATATTTGCAACGCATTTGGGATTTAAATCAAACCAGGTTGACATGCACTTTCTCACGTAGTCTACTCAACGGTATGATTTTATGGATATAACCGTGAAATTTAATTACAAACGTCCCTCACGTAACGCTCCCCGCTCCAACAGCACGAATTGGTAGTTACGCGATTCATCACTTAGGAACATACTTCACACTTAAGCTATGCATTTCACAGTTTCACGATCAAGAAAAAAAGGTAAACATATTTTTTCGAAATAAAAAATATTTTCAATGGTAAAAAATATTTTGCAAGTTAACCAACTTCAATCCTGGCGTCATCATGTCATGGCAGCACCCAGTGTCACGGGTTTGGTATATAAATCTTAGATCTGCGTTAAAGCATCCTTTGGAAGGATCAAAGAAGTTCTAAAGTTACTCCTGAAGTAATATTTCTATAGTAATCTTTTTAATCTTAATTTTGTCATGAAGTTTAACATTTATACGTATTTAGTAATTCATTGCTAAAATAATAAAATTAAATGATACCGAATTTTTCTCCAGAAACGCGCATAACCCCCCGTTATAACGTTTATTTCTATGGGAAAATAGGCTTCATACAGCGCGTTTCGACTTGCGTGTTGTTTTTGAGGAATGCATTCCTTTGCTAGGAAACTTCATTTATATATAACTAGCTTTACTACCCGTCTTCGCCCGGGACTTGGATTCTTGTCTTGGATTAATACACGGCCCTCGCAGAGGGTGGGGGTGGGGATGCGTGACGTCAGCAGGCACACTGCGTGACGCTACCGCATGCGGGTGACATCACAGATGTGACATCACAGATGTGACGTCACCGCTCACTTGCCGTGCAAAATGTATCCATTATTGCGCCCCCCCCACCCCAAAATACAAAAGTCTATTTTTATACTTTTTGCATTGTGTACAGTCTGGAAGCTACCCACATGCCAAATTTAAAGTTTGTTGCATGTTGGGAAGTATGTTAAACATTTCGAACAGACACACATGTTCACAAATTTCCCTTTTTCATATATATAGATAAGTGTTGTATATCCAACATTGAAAATGTACACGTAGAGTTTGCTTCGTACTTTTCTGTATATTCCATTTAGTATACAAATAGGTTGCGTTGTGAAATGTGGTAGCATAATTATTTAAATTGATGTCCATTATGAAAGAATTGTGCACAAAAATTGCACATATATCAATTGCCGATTCTATTATTGTTAGGTATTACATCCGGATACGACGTTGTATTTGCCCCTATCCGGTGCCTATGGCAGTAAGTAGCCCATAGTGTCAAGCTCAGATAATTGCACGTACGATGCTGCCTGTATGGATGCTCTAGGGGTGTCTACATTTTTTGCATTCAGGTCTGTATTTGACTAATTGTATAATATGGTGTCCAGTGTTTGCAGCATTGACGAATCATAATTCACAATTATATTTTTTACCATCCCCTTCAACTTCATCATTACCACTACTGTCATTGTCATCGTTTGTACTACCACTATCATCACCATCTGCATTAAACTAAAATATTCGGCACATATGTCAATCACACTGCTCTATGGGGAACACATATATAATAGGCGATGTGTGGGGCAATGAACCTTCTTTGTAGCACATAGATCATCATGAATATCATCACAACCATAATAGTTACCATCATCACCACCATCAATATCAACATCGCCACTCTTGTCATCATCAGCCATGATCTATTTACTGCCGTATGACGGTCGCCAGTCTTGTCCACCGCAGTGCACATGAATGCAAGCACTTGGCTGCTGCACATGATGGGCGATCATTCTCATGCTCGGAGGAATACTGCTAAGCAACATCAACGGTGTAATAAATATCGTCTTCGTCAATCCATCATTGGCAATGCATTGTTATGGTCCTTGCTCCCTCATGTTCAGTTAATGATATTAATTACATCAATGCTATACAGCGGTAATTGCTGTGCCTGCACAACGTTGCCTGTATATAACAGGCAGAATTTTTCACGTGATTCCTCTTAGCTGCGAGCACTTCCGGGTAATGCAAACTACTCAAAGTTGATCGTAAGGATCTCCCAGCAGATAATAGCACTTGTTGATTTGGGCTGTTGGATAATGGGAGTCATGCAAAAGAGAAGAATACATAGGAGGACTTATGTTGCATTGTAGCAACAAGTTGTCTTCAGTATACCGAGTAAAAAGTTTTTATGATCAGACTTAGTGCTGCAGAATGTATATATAGAATGAAAGTGGATGTGGGAAAATATTTGAAAAATCATGCTCCTTTTATATGGATTTTCCAGTCTTTTTAAGTGGACAATTACTGAGTGGGCTGCATATTTGTTTTCTTAACTTTGACAGTAGTTAAAATCACACTTGTCTAAAGGGTGTTGCAAATACAATCTTCTTGGCAGTTCATATTTTAGGTTCGTTTACCACTACCTCTCTTGCCTAATTTCTAGGGTAATGACCAGTTTGGCAGGCTTCAGCCATAATGTTTATTTTGGAATTGGTAGTCCAAAAACCTGTAAGAGCAAAAACAACGATATTTCTAAACAAGGCACCCATGGCAAAGGTTCGTTTTTAATGCCTGTGCAATGACCAGAAAGGATGCTTCCTGACAGCAATGTGTTTACTTGTTATACATTCTAGGACTTTTAATGAATTTCACAAAGTTGAACATCTTATGAAAGTGAAGTCACATTTAATAAATAGATTTTTGTTTTGAATTTAGATCAACTGAATATAAAAAAATAAATGACTGATGGTGCAATGGTTTAAAGACCTGCACATGATGGAGAAGGGCAAGATTGTTAACAGGCACTGGATTAGGACCCTTAGGTTTGCACCATGGGAAGACCTAAAGCCAGATAAAGGAATGCATCTGATGAGTCCAGCAGGGTGAAAGTGTGGCATCAGAGACGCTGGCCATGATGAACTATTAATTGTGATATTTTATCAGTATTGAAATGAATTTTAAACATTCTCCGTTTGTGTTCACATTGTATCCAGAATTTGTCATGCCGTCTACTGTGATTAGCGAATGGTCACTTGTTTTTTTGTACCTAGATCAAGGGTCGTAGGTGCTACATGTGTCAATTTCAATCCGTAAGGTCTCCTTGGGTTGTTATGGTCTGAATGAGGCCTCACTCATTGTGACAGCCTGCCAGAATGCCAAACATATGAAGTAATGTATAGATAAATACACAGCGTGTTTGTCTATCCTGCTTGGGCAGGACATACTGCTTGAAGGGATGATGGCTGATCGATGAGACTGGTTATGGAATTACAGCCAAAAGAGGGGAACATGCCCATGAGGAGCTGAAGTCATGAGATCAGCTCATGTGCAGGAAGGAGCGAGTTGGATTATGGCACTGCAAGATCATGAGGGATGGTGACGATGTGGGGAGAGCTTCCAGGAGTGGATTGATCATGGATGACTAATGATGATGAAATCTAATTTCAAAGCTACAGTGAGCCATTGTGATGGTAAGTTTGGGTACCAATTCTAGTAGCATTTTTGCTGAGTCAATCATAACTGTATAGCTGTGCTGTCACTGTCAGCTTTTGCTGAGTGGACATGAAGGCTACACAGTTGAATGAAGATAATGTTTATTTTGTGCATATTTTAAAAGTTTTGTTTCAATTTTGTAGAATTGGTTTGTGTGTGACTTGACTTTTTTTGGTAGTTGTTCTGGCTTGGACTCGTGCAGCCAGGCACTGTTCACATGGTTGGGTGTGTGCATTGTCTTGTTGAAATTTAAATTAATAAAAAGTGAGTGTGTAAGCATGTACGTGTTTGTTGTTGAAAAAAATAGCTGATATTGAGTTAATGTATTTGATCTAAAAATAAGTTAATTATAAATTTTGGAAGTATACTATGTTTTTTGTGACATTTGTGTAATAACGTATTTTCAAACTATTTTCTGCGATTCATAGTGAAAGGTTTGTTTAACTAATGACATTGGCAAAAACGTATTTGGTAAAATCAAACATGTTTAAGTTTGAACAAATAATAACAGGGGAAAACCTAGTCTCATATTTTGGTACTGGCAATGGAGGTCCCATGATGTAGATGTTCACCCCGAGCCCTCATTACTCTGATAATGCTTGTCTTTGTGCTGTATGCCTTTTAGCGTCCTCTGGTCTTACACCGTTTTGAGACTAGGCTCAAAAGAAAGCTGTCTCTGGTGTGGTGTGGACCAATCAGTTTCAAAGACAATGCATATATTATCAGAGTAAGTTTTTTTGTTTGCATTCTGACCACAAGTATTGTGGTTAATGCAGACATGATTGCTTGTAAAAAGTTTAAGTTTGGTGTTTTAACACCAAACTGTTGCCAGAAGAAAATGGGAAAACCGATTCTCACAATAACTGAATTGTGGTTTTCCAGCTTAGGCTACGTGTTGAATATTTATCCTCCCAAGTTTTCACCATGTGCAGCTGCAGACTCGTTCAGGTATTGAATTTACAGTACAGTAATTCCTCGTTTAACGTGGTAGATGTGTTCCTAAAAAGTGTTGCGTTTCAGCAAAAAAAACAATTTCCCCATAAATAATAACGATGAAGTTTTGCAAGATACGATGTACGCTTACAGAAAGATGGCGGGACAAATAACTGGGTGTATGCTGCTGCGTTACTGTATCATTCTCCATACTGCATCGCACCGCTCAGCCCTGCAGCTCAAGAAAGTAGTTTGTCATCGACTACTCAGAAATCGCATTGTAATGGTGTGCGTTCCACATAGTGCTTAAAGTGTTCGCTAATGGAAGAATCACATTGAAGATAAAACGCATTGAGCGATCGCGCATTAAGCAGAGACTTGCATATTGTAATTGACTCCTGAAGATGTACACAACTGTGCATGGCGAAAGCTTGAACAAAGAAACGCTCAAACGAATTGTATTTTTTTCTCACTCTTTGGCCTGGGTTGTCTCTGACTTCAATGTGTACTTTTTGTTGAAGGCCATGTGTTTTTGTTTTTGTGTGTTTCAGGTATAGAGGAAGCAGCATGCAAACACTCGTCCTTGCATCTGTCCACCACCTTCCCGCTCGCTGCTGACAGCATGTCGTTTTCTCCTCAGCAGCAGTTCAGCGATCAGCCCATGGCTCAAGCGCAGGTACTCACTCACTCTTGTCAGCATGCTTGCTATATTACTTTTTCCAGTTAAGGCATGTTGGCAGGGTAGCACAGCAAGAAATTCCTGGGTTCGATTCCTGACTCGGGCGCCTTTCTGTATGGAGTTTGTATGCTCTCGCCCGTTCTTCATGGGTTTTATACGGGTTGTCCAGCTTCCTGTTATAGCTACAACAAACCTACAATGTGACTTGTATTGGCCAAACATCCCAATGCTGAAAAGTTACCTTAAAAATGCTCAAATTAGCAACATAGACACCTCTTTGAAAAACTTGGAAGGACCCTCCTTGGGTAAACAAGCATAATATTATTCGTGAATGGTAGATGCATTTACATCATAATTTAGTATGTAGCAGGTATCTTTTGAGCAATTGGACATTTTGTGAGAATTAAATGTGAGGATGGCACAATGGTGCCAAATGAAACGGTGGATTTGCTCATCCACTGCTTGAGAGACTCTTCTCACGATGGCCTGAATGTTGAACTGCTATTTGTTTGTTCAAAATACATTTTCCACTGTGTTAGCCTCCCACCACTATTATGTACCAAGCTCAACAAATCGAGCACGACTCCACACTGGTTTGAGCATCGAGGAGACACTTCATCTGACTATTGGTTAAAAAAAATGAGCATGCGTGTGTTTCCCCCTGCTGGAACAACCTACGTATTGAACTGAACCTGTGCATGTAGGCTAGTATTTTCATTGGAAGCTGTGCATATCAATTAAGTGTTCGTTTTAGTACCTTTTTGAGAATATGCACGACTCAATGCTTGGCACACATTCAAAGTGTTACGTTTCCCTTTTCTCACATTTCAATGCCTAGGTGTTATTTGTTATATTATTTATGTTACTTAATCATCAGAGTAAATTATAAAAACATTTCCTCGTGAATTATGAGAATTAATATTCTTCGGTCCTTTCGGTAAAGTCACGTCGATAGAAAAAAAGAAAAAATTTGAAATAAAATAAATAAAAACCCACGGCGTTTCGACTGCAACACAAGCGGTCTTCATCAGGCGGAGATAAAAGAGGGGGCAAGCCTCCAAATGCAACTGCTTATAAAGCTCGCGCTTTACTTCCCCTCACTTCCCATATTTCTACCCACCCCCCTCTCACCCTATCTCTACCCCCTCCCTCCACCCATTGTCTACATTAGCATTGGCTGCCCTGCCCATTTTGTTTACGCCACAGCTTTCCTTGCTTCTGCCTCGCAACTCTAGTCCTCCGCCCACTCACAACTTTGGAAGCCCTTATAAGTAGTTGCATTTGGAGGCTTGCCCCCTCTTTTCTCTCTGCCTGATGAAGACCGCTTGTGTTGCAATCGAAACGTCGTGGGTTTTTTGTTTTATTTTTTATTTTCTATCTACGTGACTTTACCGAATGAACCAAAAAATATGAATTCCTGCAGTCACGAAAGTTTTAAGTCAAAATTTAATAGAATTAAGTTTAGACATGGCAAGAGTGTACATACTGATACCCGTTTCCTACTTTTTTCTTGCAGCTGCTTCCAGACATGACAATCCTGCAGCGACGAATCCCTCTTAAGTTCCGTGACCCAACCACAGCACCTCTGAGAAAACTGTCCGTCGACCTTATAAAGACATACAAACACATTAATGAGGTAAGGAATGTTTTGTTTATGCTATTATGTCTTGTACGGGGCTGTAGTAGGATATAAATAGATATGTCTTCCTTGTTCAGCCTCCTTCCTCACTTGAGCAGTCACAAAAGTTGAGAATTTTTTTAGACATTGACTTTAAAAACCAATGTAAGTGGACTTGTGCAGGACACATCATTAAGAGGGAATTATGGCCAAGACAAAGGAGCAGCACCTGAGAAAGCCCACCATAGAGCTAGAGTGAGAATTTCTGGAGCCAAGTGGCTTGTGGTATTATGGGGTTGATGTTTAATTTCAGCTTGGGTCGAGGGAAAGTAGAGGTGCACATTATTAAAAAAAATTAAAATTAATCTTGGGCTGTTCCACTTAACTTCATTTTATAAGAAAATCCCAAAATGTGTATTATCCATAATTGATATTTTAATCTCGGGAGTTTTAAAAATATGACTGCATAATATATTACATTCCATTGTTGGGGCTGATAATAGGTTTTCACCCTTTTTTCTGGCAACAAAACAAGATGTTAAACACCAAACTGAAACCTTTTACAAGGAATCATGTCTGCATTAACCACTGCTTGTGGTCAGAATGCAAACAAAAAAACATACTCTGATAATATATGCATTGTCCTTGAGCTCTCATTACTCTGATAGTGATTGTCTTTGGGCTGTACGCCTTTTGGCATCCTCTGGTCTAACACCGTTTGAGATGAGGCTCAAAAGAAAGCTGTCTCTGGTGTGGACCAATCAGTTTCAAGGACAATGCATACATAATTCCTTGTAAAAGGTTTCAGTTTGGTGTTTTAACATCTTAACACCTGTTTTGTTGCCAGAAAAAAGGCAAAATCTATTATATTTTGGTACTGGCAAAGAGGAGGTCTCATGATGTATTGTTGGGGCTTACAAGCATCTTCATTGTAAACACAATAACAATAGTTTGTAAGACAAATGTGTTGCTCTTCATCCTGAATAGTTTGTGTGGGCTTTAGCAAGTATTAACTCTGGTAAGTATTTCACACCTGATTAGCACGGTTGGCTAGGTACGGTGCAAAAGAAGTTCCCACATATATGCAGTTTTCAACAGTTGACTTTATACATTCTTCCCCACGCCTTTTCGGCAGGTATACTATGCAAAGAAAAAGCGGCGAGCCCAGCAGCAGCAAGGGGAAGACTCGAGCCATAAGAAAGAGCGCAAGGTGTACAACGATGGCTACGACGATGACAACTACGATTACATCGTGAAGAATGGGGAGAAGTGGATGGACCGCTACGAGATAGATTCTCTCATTGGCAAAGGCTCATTTGGACAGGTAGTGAATATGATGTGGTTTGGAATGTTGATGCCGTACAATAATGTTACATTTGCAGAGCTCTTTTACTGGCTGTACTTTACTTTGTTTGGACGTGTTAAAATTCACCGCTTGTAAAAATCTATACATTTAGAAGTGTAGTGTGTAGAATTAGTTACTCTTTTAAAACATCATTTATAGCCCTTGGGAATGATGGCACAGTGGTTAGTGGACTATTCTCTGAAACCAATTACCTGGGTGTGATTTTGTGCAACAGCTAACATTAGTGGCGATGTGATCTCTGAACCATTCCTGCGCTCTTTGTTCATCAACCCACACTGAGCAGCATAGTGAAGTATGGTTAAATAACTCCCATGACCAACATGGCAAGGGGAAGACAATCTAGCATTGCATGGACAAAGGAATGTGAATTGCTGTATATTTTCTAACCATGCTATTTCATATCGAGAGTAACATTGCATTTCAGTCACATTTTATTTATAAATTAGCACGGATTGGGTGGGAGGGGAGACATGATGTCATCACACACAAACCCGGCCCCATGGTGAGGGGATGTGGGTGATGTCACTACTGAGCAATTGCCCATGTGCCATCCAGCCAGCAAAACTTTATACACAAAAATAAAGGAAGAACCCTCTATCCATCTTTTGTAGTTAATTTATATAACTTGTTTTCTTCATGGATAAGAAATTATTTGTGCTACCATTTCCACATGTTAGTACATTAACAGCCATTATCCAATCTTTCTGGTAAAAACGATACATTTCATTATTAATGTATTAAGCAGGAAAAATGTATTACGGTTTTATTTATTCATACACATGTAATTATATAACTATACATAATTATATGACTATACATATACAATAGATGGGCTGTCAGTACAATAAATGGTAATGTTTTTTTATCCACATTTGGTGTTTAGGAATATTTAATTAACATAAAAAAAAATCTAAATATACGAGATGGCTAGTTGACTGAGATCAGAGTGCTCAATGAGTTTCAGATCAGCATTCAGCTGGTCACCATTGATTGTAACGAAACATCACATTTATTTTTCCACTTTGCCACATTGCAGATCTCATTATTAAAGCTATGCCTTTAATAATGAGGATAGGATTTTTTGTGTGCCTCGAATATATTTATAATAGTGTCGGATATACATTTAATATATAAAAACTGATGCTTTTTGTTTTTTTAGGTTGTAAAAGCATATGATCACCAGGAACAGGAATGGGTAGCAATCAAGATAATTAAAAACAAGAAGGCCTTTTTGAACCAAGCGCAGATCGAGGTGCGACTGCTGGAACTGATGAACAAGCACGACACGGACATGAAGTACTACATAGGTGAGCGTGCATCTCATTTGAGATATCTTGTAGTTTGGTATTGATCATTATACAGCATAAGGATTTGCTCCCAATTTCGGATTAATTCGAAAAATTGGGCCAAGGTATGAAATTTTGGACAATCCAAATGTTTTCTTTCCATCATTCCAAAGTGTGACGTCGAGTGATTTCACTTTGTATAGATTTTATACAACAATGTAAAATATCTAAATAGCTGAAAAAGATCTGTTATCTTTGGAAATATGAATTTATTTTGAAATTCTAAATACCAAACTCATCCTGACTGCAGTATAATTAAAAAGCATGTTAATTGTATTTTATGTATGGTATAAGTCTTCACTGGGTGTAATATTGAAAATTATTGCTTGATTTAGGGACGTATTAACATTATTGATTATAGTCTCTATCTCATGTTAACACTAGGCATGTATGCCTGACACTGTCTATAGGCTATATGATTGTCACTTGACATAATTTCCAACACAATAGATAGTACTCTTTGTGATGCCAAACAAAAAAATGTACCATCATGGTTGCCATCCAGTTTGACTCGTCAAAACCACCACTGCATCTTCAAGTCGAGGATATGTTGGTGTCACCACATTTCAGTGTACAGACAGTCTTCGATTTACAACCGTTAGATTTGCGACGATCCACATTTACAAAGTATAATGCCACCTTGGATCGATTTTCGACACAGAAACTTGAGTTATGACGCATCTTTCAACATGACTCCGAACACATTTGAAAAGTCCGTCAGTCTGGTTTCCAATGTGACCTGACGTGGAGCTTTTGTTATTCTCAAGCGTTTTTCAGGATTTTTACCTACTTAACCCTCTTAAATATAGCCGATTAAAGGAAAAGCACATCGACAAGTGATGTTTCTACTGTTTCTACTGTCTATTGGAAAATAGGGTCCCGATTTACAACGATCCGATTTACGACGGGGTTTCCAGGAACGCGTTGTAACAGTGGGGACCGCATGTATTTCCATTCCAAGAACATTTCCTTGGTTTTTCCTGGGTTTACCAGCCAATGCCTTTTTGACCTTTATGAGCCGCTCATGTCTATTCTCGGGAACTAGCGGCGATGCCCTCTTGCGGGCCGTTCTCGATATTTCAGGTGACCAAATGGAGGTTTTGTTTTGAGGCCAGCATATGCATGCTGCCCGCTAGTGGCAAGTTTAGGGGGGAAAATAGCACATGGTCAAGTTTAGTTTACACGTTTATTTTGTTTAATTTCCTGTCCCAGTTCTTGACATTGTGTGGTCATGTATGTATGTATCCCTGTACACAGCACACATCCTGCTATAAGCATCAATATTTTTCACAATTTTGCCCATTTCAGAATCCTTTTATGAGTATAATCTGTACGATTATTTATATTGCGGTTTTTAAGTAAACCTGATTAAATTTTCATAACATTGTATAACATTTTCATTCTTTGACCAGTGCACCTGAAACGCCACTTCATGTTCCGGAACCACCTGTGTCTGGTGTTTGAGCTCTTGTCATATAATCTTTATGACCTGCTGCGAAACACCAACTTCCGTGGAGTGTCACTCAACCTGACGCGCAAGTTCGCACAGCAGATGTGCACAGCGCTACTCTTCCTGGCCACACCTGAACTGAGCATCATTCACTGTGACCTGAAGCCAGAGAACATCCTCCTGTGCAACCCCAAACGCAGTGCCATCAAGATTGTCGACTTTGGCTCTTCGTGTCAGCTTGGACAAAGGGTACGCAGCTCTACTTGGATATAAAAAAATATATAAAATGTGCAGTTTATTGGCAGAAGACAGAGGAAACATGACAAAATGTGCAGTGGACACCTATGGGATATCTGCCCATGAATGGTGATGATGAAAATATGCAGTTATATAAATAATTTCTTTAAGCCATTTAGTTTTATATCTATAAAGATAACCAAGTAATTTTGTATTATGCTGCTTTATTTAGTTTTATTTTAACAATTTCAGTAAACTGAGCCTATTAAAATAAAAAAATTTGATCAAAATCATATTTCCTACTACACTACCTTACACTTTATTAATATACAATCCACTTGTAGCGGAATTCGTGTAACAATACATAGCATTTCTCGTTGTGTTAACATAACTAAAATATGAATATTCTTGGTTCTTTTGGTAAAGTCACGTAGAAGGGAAACAATAAAATAATAAAAATATAAAACAATAAAATTATCACGCCGTTTCGACTGCAACACAAGCAATCATCAGGTGTGAAAACCACAACAAGAAAATTTGAAAAAAGTGGCGGTTATTTTTAACGTTAGCACCACGGAGAGAGATTTGACAGTTTGTTCAGATGGACGAGTCCATCTATGTTCGGAAACGAGGGGGGGAGACGAAAAATAGTGGATGCGGTCTGAAAGCCACCTTAAGCGTGATCAATCAATTAAGACCCGAAATAGTTTATCAAATCCTTCCAATGATTGCTAAACCAGAATCCATCTTCTCGGTTGAAATTGTCTCTGTGTTTGTATATGTGGATAGCCTCATGAAAGAATCTCTCATACAGGAAAGCTACCCATACGGATGCTTACCTGAAACCGCATTCCCACCACCATCCATCCCAGAAGAATTCCCTCATCAAGACTCTGCACCATAGAGCCCAATGCATATCCGACCAGGAACATATAGCCAGTGAACTCAAGTACGTACACCAAGCTCTTAAGGCTAATGGTTATTCCGACTACACAATCCGCAAAGCTATCACTCCAACCATGAAGAAGGATCCTCTTGAGGAGCCTTTCAAAACCATCACTTTACCCTACATTGCGGGGATCACAAAAAATATCTCCAAAATCTTGAATAAACACAAGATCCAGGTCCGATTCAACACATTACATAAAATCTGTGATCTTGTTCCATCTGTAAAATATGTGATTCCGAACATACAGTACCCTGGCGTCTACAAACTAAGTTGCCTCTGTGATAGTAGTTGCATTGGAGAAACCAAACGACATGTCTCGGACCGCATTCGTGAACACAAAGCAGACCTGAAACACGGTAGGACCAACACCTCGGCCGTGGCAGATCACTGTTATAATTCAAAAGGTTCACATGACATTAACCTCTCTAAGACAGAGGTTCTTTGCAAGCCATCTGGCTACCAGGAGAGATTCTTTCATGAGGCTATCCACATATACAAACACAGAGACAATTTCAACCAAGAATATGGATTCTGGCTTAGCAATCATTGGAAGGATTTGATAAACCATTTCGGGTCTTAATTGATTTCACGCTTAAGGTGGCTTTCAGACCGCATCCATTATTTTTCGTCTCCCCCCTCGTTTCCGAACATAGATGGACTCGTCCATCTGAACCAACTGCCAAATCTCTCTCCGTGGTGCTAACGTTAAAAATAACCGCCACTTTTTTCAAATTTTCTTGTTGTGGTTTTCACACCTGATGATTGATTGCTTGTGTTGCAGTCGAAACGTCGTGAGAATTTTATTGTTTTATATTTTTATTATTTTATTGTTTCCCTTCTATGTGACTTTACCGAAAGAACCAAGAATATGAATCTCTGCAGTCACGAAAGCTTCAAATCAAAATTTACAATATGAATCTTAAATAAAATTATTTTCCAACGTTCGCCAGCATAGCTGAGTTCATGGTTCAGATTCACACAACCATGCGATGAAAGTGATAGTTACTACACTTGAGGAAGAGTTATATTTTCACATTTACTTTTCCCACTTGTATTCCAACTCCATGATTGGTCATGCCACTAAACAAAAGTGTCCTTTCATAACTATAGAATAAACATTGACCACTTGTCTTCTTCAAGCAGTGGTAGTGGAAACGACGGTGAAGCTATGGTTATCGTCATGTGTTCATCATCTTAGCCACCATCGTGCATTTTATCTGTGCGTACTCACAGATTATATGATGAATTTCACGGCTGTATCCTCCCTCATCTGCAGAATGTCAAGAAATAAAAGTTCCCATCTGTGTATGATTGTCGGTTTGACCTCACCCCTGAGTCGGCAACCTGCGGAAGCCAAAGAGCCGCTTGCGGCTCTTTGGCTTCCCCCTTGTGGCTCTTTGGCTGCACCTGTTCGGGCAGCGTTTTTACATTAATCTTTAAACATAATTTAACGTAAAAATGAGTTATTAAATATATCAGGAAATAGGTAATCATGGAACGTCTTGGTGACAACAATGTACAGTCATACTGTGTTCAAGAATAACTAAGGGGGGAATAAACGAAATAGACAGTTTATTACATTACCTATTTCGTTTATTTAAATGAGAATGTGTTTTATCATCTGCTGCATACCTGCTGCTGTGTTTGTGTACAAGTGGCTCTGTGTGATGCGGCACGTAAACTATTTTGGTCAAAGACAAAAAAAATCTTTGAGAGCTTGCTGACCCCTGGCACTTAATCCCATGGATATTTGGAGTTGTAAAGAAACCACATATGAGAGGAGTTTTGCTGTGATTTTTTCTCCATTATTTCTGTGAGAAATCAGACAACTTAATTATTGTGTTTTTAAGAGCGTTCAGCATTTAAAAGGGGGTTCGTCGTGTGTTTTCAGATTTACCAGTATATTCAGAGTCGGTTTTACCGCTCTCCTGAAGTTCTGCTGGGAATCCCCTATGACCTCGCCATTGACATGTGGTCACTGGGCTGCATTCTGGTGGAGATGCACACGGGGGAGCCACTCTTCAGTGGCTCCAATGAGGTAATGTCAGCAACATCCACATCGCTTAATTGCTTTGCTCTATGATGTTTGGAATCTACAAAACAAGTACAAAATGACACGTTAGCATTGTTGATCAATTATGTGATATAAATTTAAGAAATACTCTTTGCACAACAGCATCAGCAGTCATCGATATTTAGTGTATAATTCAGTGTGAAATTTAAATTGTTTGGCATTGTTTATGTTTTTAGTAAAGGGTGGCCTTTTGTGCTTATTTACACAGTATTTGATATCTCATGCAGCTAAAATCCATGTGCAGAATTACATTTCACTACCACCACAGGTTCCTTGAAGGTTTTACTAAATATTTTTCACTGTGGGTAGTAAAAGCTATTTAAAGGATGCTTTAACATCGCCGGCATCATATTTTAAGTGTAATGATCACATCCTCAATGACGATTATATCGCCCTTGGATTATCACAGCTATGCTCCAGCATCATGCTGTGTACAGCAAAAAAAAAAACAAGAAAAGAGCTACACTCAATTGAGAGTTTTAAAATCAGATATCTTTGGTTATTCAGGATGGCAAAAAAATCCCTTAGTGTTATCTCCACTCAAAATGTTTATTTTATTTTGCGGAATGTAGTTGTGAAGGTTGGATGACTTCAAGATCAAGTTCATTTATTGCTTTGGATAATATAAAGTGACTTCAACACGAAAGCATGTGCCCTGAATATCATGTTGTTGCTTTTATAGGTTGACCAGATGAATAAGATTGTGGAGGTTCTGGGCCTGCCACCTACACACATGTTGGAACAGGCACCCAAAGCCCGGAAGTATTTTGAAAGGCTCTCGGATGGGTCCTGGACTGTCAAGAAAACTAAAGACAGCAAAAGGGTCAGATAATTATTGCCATGTCTGGTTGCTGATTATTCTCTTTTGTACAATGGATGAAACACATCTTCCTATACCATTGTGTAATTTCATATGGAGTATTATGATTTATAGTTGGATTCTTTTGGTTCAAGTCATAGAGGTAAATTAGTGCTATAACCCTCCACTGCCTGACAAGTCAAACAAATTGAAGTTATGTGGCAAAATGTCCCAATTGATATTTGTTTTTTTCCCAAAAACCACTTACATTGAAAAGAAAGCAATTTTTTTACAATTCTGAACAATGTTTTGACTGGAAATTTCAACATGCAGCTTAGAGTGTCAGTAAGAGCTCGGATCTCGTACCTAAGCAGGTGCCCTGAAGACATTTTGACAGGCATGATGGTGACCGGATTGTTGCATTACAATTGGTTACTGATGGATTGGTTGTAAAGCTTAAAATCGTGTAACAAGGTACATTTATAAAATTTGTGAAAACAGGTTATCCTTAATTATACGCAGTGTAGTGTGTTAATATATATATCCTATCTATAAAAGTAAATTTTTGTCTGTCTGTGTGTTTGTCTGTGTCTGTCTGCACGGGTACCTCAAAAATGTACCCAGATACCACGCAATAAGCCCCGGGACGAAAAAGCGCTATGAATTTTTGCCATCCGTCAAGTTTAAAGTAGTTTATTTAACAATGTATTCCTTTTATACGCTGAGGTCGGCGCCAAAGCACGCATCTGCGTATGCGTGAGAACACTGACTCGGTGGGGACGGGGAAAAATTATCATTCGTGTTAAAAATGCAAAAAACAAGGCTGAGGTAAATTCTTCAAAGTGTGATGTCGTCTTCTCCCCCCCCCACCCCAATGTGTGCAGTTACTACTATAGGTCTCTAGATACTACTATAGTCCATAGCTACTACTGTAGAGCGAGTGAGGGGATGGTGGGGGGGCTAACAGCCCAGCTCCAGCCGGCCAAGGTGCCACCTCGGCCGGCTGGGCAATCTAGCTGAGGTCGGCGACACTCCGCGGGACTAGGCCTCACCACGGCACTATGTGAAGCTAGTAGATGCTGCTATCGAGTCCACACATACTACGAGTAGTGACGAAGGTGACCAACAGCTACACTGCGAGGGGGGGGTCCACTCCCAGCAACAGTCCTGGGGGCCCCCTCTTAGCCTCCTGGCGTCGCCTCGCCTCTCCCTAGCCATGCCCCCTTCTAGAACCTACTAGTGGGTTCTCGGCTTCCAGATGGACCCCTGTCCTGGGCTTCCCTTTTGACCTCCTCCTGCTGACATGTGTACTGCACCCTGCTGTCATCCCTTCCCGTCATCAGCCCGTGTAATTACACTTCACTACTATAGTTAGTAGATACTGCTATAGAGCCGATATATACTATTATACAGTCGGTAGATGCCGCTGCAGAGTCGGTCGATGCCGCTGCAGTGTCAGGATATACTGCTTCAGAGTCAGGTCAGGAGATACTATTCTAGCGGCATTGTAGAGCGCTGTGTGCGATCGCCACTACTTTTAGCCTGTTGTAATGGCTCCATGTCAACAGGGGGCGGAAGAGAGGCTGTGCCCGATACTTTAGATGAAGTCGGGCCGTTGGGCCGAGGTAACCCCCAGGGAGCATCGTGACCGGAGGTGCAGACCCCAGACCCCCAAGAGGGGGCTGGGGGATGACATCACACTCCAGATCTCTCTGGAAGGTTCCAGAAGGGAGGAGTGGCTAGGGGCGGAGTGAGCCGGGACTGGGTATGAAAGCCGGACCCCTGAACGGGACTGGCAGTTGTCTTCCACTTGAAGATTGAAGACCACCCTGAAGACCTAGGAGCCGGAGCCGGACCCGAGGTCCTTGGCTGGGTCGGTTCAGAGTAGCCTCCCTTGGTCCCGCTAGCCAGAGGACCCTTATCTAAGACACTATCCCGATGTGTAGGGCACGCTAGCCCGGAGGACGTACCTCCTTAGTGTATCGGGTGGAAGGGGCCGTTACCCCCTCGTGTCAGGGCTATTACTGTTTATTGTGTAATAAACCTATTGCCTCCAGTGAGAAGTCTCCCTCCAGTTTGTACCCACTACACTATTGCAGTCAGTAGATACCACTACGGCCAGTAAATACTGCTGCAGTCAGTAGATGCTACTGTATAGTTAGTAGAATCTACTACTGTCAGTAGATACTACTACGGTCAGTAAATATTGCTGCAGTCAGTAGATACTACTGTAGAGTTAGTAGTTACTACTATAAATCTTGATTTGAAGTTTTCGTGACTGCAGGAATCCATATTCTTTGGTTCTTTCAGTAAAGTCAAGTAGGCGAGCCTACTTCAGCAGTTTTTCCTTGCTGTGGTTGTCCCACCTCATGACGATTGCTTGTGTTGCGATCGAAACGTCGTGATCTATTATTTTTCTACCTATGTGACTTTACCGAAAGAACCAAAGAGTACTACTATAAAGTCGGTAGATACTACCCTAGAGTCGGTAGATACTACTGTAAAGTCAGTAAATACCACTACGGTCAGTAGATGCTACTACAGTCAATAAATACTACTATACAGTCAGTAGATACTACTGTAGAACCAGATACTACTACAGAGTCACTAGATACTACTCTATTGTATGTAGGTCGTGTAGGTATATATGCCTATGGGGGGGGGGGTAAAAATATTTATGGCGGGGGGGGGGAGGTTGACAATTTTCGGAAACCTTTTAGATAAACTATTTACCCCCCACTTTCTATTACTTTTTGATTCTGGACTTCTGCAAGCCTCTTATAATTTTGTTGATGGACAAATGGACAAACAAATGGATCCCGGGCTTTCACAATAGCTGCGTATTTGTGTATGTATATGTTATGTTTTTAAGAGAAGACAAGTTTGTAAATATATTTTTGCCCCGGGAAACGCTGGGTACTTCCCGCTAGATAGACCGAGCACTGGCTACATTTGCTCTGGTTCAATCAATGCATCATTTAATAACAAGAATGTAACAACAATATCTTCAATCAACCTTCATCACTAAATCCTCAAAAGTGCTAATCCCCACTGTGCTAATTTACCGTATTTTCACACATATAACCCGTGGGGTATACCACTTTTTACAAACAAAACAAGAACCTGCGGGGTATATGATGGTGCGGGTGATCCCAAAAATATTTTACAAGTGTGACATGCAATAACTCGTAAAAAAATTTCATGGTAGGACTATCCACTTTGCAACACTTACCTTTGACTAAAGCACTGCTGAATAAACCACTCACACTAAAATTGCACATGTTATCACGTTTTTAATGAATTGTTTGTACAATTAAATGAAGTGTGCGCACTCTTTACCGGGGACAGGAGAGCTGGGGGGAGAGAGAGGTGGGGGTTGGGGGCAAGGCAACCGAGTTACCGTAGTGCTGCTATTATCTGCGCAGTGCGCAATCTACCAGTGCTAAAACTGTACTTATCTACCAGTCATGTGTTACTTATTGGATATTTACTTTTGTTACTTATTTACTGTTTTAAGTTCACTCTTTTCTGGTTAGTTTGTTTTCTTTGTGCCCTTTATGATTTTAATGTTAACAATTGATAGTGGAATGTATTACAAATGTAAACTTCGTATTAATATGATGTAATTAAGCTGCGGCAACGACGTTAAATATATGAATGCATGCAGGGTATATGGAGGTCCGGGCTATCTGAAATTTGTTTTACACAAAACGCTATTTTTGCGGGGTATATGCGCCTGCGGGTTATATGCGTATGCGGGTTATATGCGGGAAAATACGCTAAGTAATCTTATAAATTAGTGCTTAACTAGAACCTTAACATACAGTAGCATCTACCGACTCTGCAGTAGTATCTACAACTCTACAGCAGTATCTACCGACTTTATAGTCATCTATCGACTCTACAGTCATATGTACAGACCCTATAGTCGAAACTACTGACTCTATAGTAGTATCTAGTGACTCTACAGTCGTATCTACTGACTGTCGTCATATCTACTGACTAATAGTATCTATCGATTCTATAGCACTCTGCTAACTCTACAGTAGTATATACTGACTATAGTAGTATCTACTTTCTCCATAGTAGCATGTACCGACTCGATAGCAGCTTCTACTAACTCCACAGCAGTATATACTGACTAGTAGTATCTACTAACTCTAAAGTAGTATATCAACTAAATAGTAATGACTACAGTAGTATCTACCTACTCTACAGTAGTATCTACTGACTGTAGTAGTATCTACCGACTCTATAATATCTATCGACTATATAGCAGTATCTACTAACTTCACAGAGCGCCGTGGTGAGACCTAGTCCCGTGGAGTGCAGACATTGGGGTGGGGGGTGGAGAAGAGGACATGACACTGAAGAATTTACCTCGGCGTTTTGCCATTTTGAACGCAAATTATAATTTCTCCCCCCCCCCCGTCTCCACCGATCGAGTGTGCATTGCTAAGGGCAACCACCACGAGTCGGCGTTCTCGCGGTGCGCAGATGCGTGCTTTGGCGCCACCCTCGGTGTACAACAAGAATACATTGTTCATTTAACTACTTTAAACTTGACAGATGGGAAAAACGAATATAACTTTTTCGTCCCGGGGCATATTGTGTGGTATCTGTGTACTTTTTTTTAATATGTAAACCCCACAGTTTGTCAGTTAAAAGCGTCACAAGGTACCCGCGCAGACAGACACACACACAGACAGACAAAACATTACTTTTATAGGTAAGAAGAGATTAACTTTACAATACCAAATATAAATTTAGAACCAACACCATTAATTTTATATAATTAAGGAAGGCTAGCCTATTTTCACCCAGGATTGAATAGATTTACCTTGTTACATTATTTAAACCCTGCAAATTCCAACCAATAAAATCGGCATTCACCTCCAATAATTAATTAGATTAAGTTCACCGGCATGTCTGTTCTCATGACGTCTCCTTGAGTAGCTGGGCGTGGTCCTCATGCGACACTTAAGCTCTTGCCAACACCTGATGGTGCTGGTCGGAATCTCGCAGCCAAAGTTTTCCGTCGTTTTCAACATTTTACTTGCCTTTCAATGTAAACGATTTGCTCGCAAACCAAATAGACTCGTGCACTGGGTGGCAGGTGGTGAAGGGTTATCGCGGTAATTGACGTTATACCTATGCGAAGCCAATTATGAAACAAATCGTAGATTTTTAAATATTGGCACTCAAAGGGGATTTTAATCATTCGTTTCCATAAGTATTGTGGCATCGCTAGTAAGTGACAAATATGCACCCTAATAATGATCAGTTGGGAGTACAAGATAGCACTGTAAACAATACGCACAAAATGCTGCAAGGTTCCTGATATAAGGATGATATGAACCTGAAGCATGCCTTGAGTTATTGTGGTATATTGTTGTTTGGTACACATGAAGTTTAAATTCATTTTTATTCAATGGACTTGTTTTAGATCCCAATATCCAAAGTTTCCATGGAATACAATGCATTTTCTCATTGCTTAGATTAGTCTTAATGCTCAGCCTCTGGAAGTCTCAATGGCTTGGTAGATCAGGAAGCATTGATTGCATTGTAATAGTCAGTCACAAATTAAATAAAGCAGATCAAGTGCTGACCTTTGAAAATATAATAGGACATACGTCTGGAAATGTTACATAGTTACAACAGGACACCACAATACTCATTGTGAGTTTTGGGTCAAACTGCACCTCGTTTTTTTACTTCCAAGCTGCAGTAAAATTTATCCATACAGGTTTATTCCATCTTCATTAAACTCTTTAACAAGCGATAATATTTTTAAGTCAATTAAACACAAGTCGTGTAGTTAAAGTGGGATTATATAGAAATATCTGAGTATCGTTAACGTTTATGTGGAAGCCTAAATCATGCTGGAAGTTGATGATGCTGAGTGGGAAGACATTCACATTAAACAATAGTGATCCTAGGATGAAGGCCTAAGGTAATATATAATTGTACATTGCTTTGGGGAGAATTTTTTACATATCGTAAGGGGAAAAATGTATGTTTCCAAAAAGGTATTCCAACTCCGTCTCGCACACCTGGCAAGCCTTCATGAAAGGCATTTAGAAGTGCGCACTGTGAGAGATATGGGATTGTGTTTATATTTGCCAGTTAAAATTTCACTGTACACAGGGATTGTACGCTTGTCTAAACTGCGTACGTTGTAATCTCGGGTTATAGTGTGACTCGTTTGTGGGTATCCTGCTCTTTGTGTGTCCACAGGAGTACAAGACAGCTGGTTCTCGCAAATTACACGATATCATTGGGGTGGAGAGTGGTGGTCCTGGAGGCCGGAGGATGGGAGAGGCTGGGCACACAGTGGCTGATTACCTGAAGTTTAAAGATCTGATCCTGCGCATGTTGGACTATGATCCCAAAACACGAATAACTCCTTTTTATGCCCTGCAACACAACTTCTTTAAAAAAACCACTGATGAAGGAACAAACACAAGTAACAGTGTGTCCACAAGCCCTGCCATTGATCAGAGCCAGGGCACTGGGACTGGAACTTCAAACTCTTCATCGAGTTCTGGTAAGTCTTCGTGTAACACAAGTAAATAATTATCCATAATAAAGGGTTTTTTTTTTGTTAGATTGCGTAAATATAATTTTGTTTTTAAACCCGTTGCCACCCGACAGCCAATTAGAAAGGTTTGTCACATAAACAAAACATGCCAATTAGTTACTACTTCAGCACACCGGTGTTGGAGAATAAACCACAACAATTACAATTTGAGTACGATGTTTTGCAAGTGATTTACAACCAACTTCATTAGGCGATACCAAGAATTGTTATGTTTACTTGACAAACCTTCCTAATTGGCTGTGTCGGGTGGCAACGGGTTTAACGACACATTTATATTTACACGATCTAACCCAAAAAACCTTTCTTTGAATCAAATTGGTCGTGAAAACCTACGTCTTAAAATAATACCTTTCCCAGATCAAATGTTATTTGTGGTCATACTGCTCCGCTTACTCTCTGTTGTGAAAAATTACCTCTTAGTAGGAGTCTTATATTAATTTCAAGAAGGCAAGGTGGTGCATCAGCTGCAGCACAAGACAACATCTCGTACATTGTGAAAAAGTTGCACTCCACTTTTGGAGAGCACATTTGAGACTGCACAGCTTTTATGATTACAAATCATGATTGTCATCCTAAATAGCTCAACTTTTCCAATGTGAAATCAGTCCTAACCCTGATTATTTTTGCTGTAATGCAATACACTGCAGCCATTTGGTGCTGTGGCAGCAACTGGTGCATCTTCTGGTTCGGAGGTCCAAACGTTTCACTCTTGGGCTCAGAGTGACCAACACATTTAGAGTTTCAGACCACAGACATAGCAATTACATAATCATTTTCACTGCGTCTTTGGTGTACTTGTATTTGGACGAGATATTGCTGAACAACTGTACAGCAATAACAACATAAATGTTGTGTCGGACTTTTTGACATGAGGGAAAAGAGATGTACAAGAAAGACAGATGTAAGCGGTGTGGGAGAATGTGAGAGGCTCTGGGGAGAGGGTGTATTGACACTGTGTGTGCAAGGAATCGGTATCAGAATATTTAAACTGTAGGAATCCGATGGGCACACATGTCCAGTAGTTTCACAGAAGTTCGGTCGAAAGAAGGAAGGGGTGACGGTACAGTCGGTGTAACGTAAATGTGAACAATTCCCACACCTGCAAATTAATTTATTGAGAATAGGTTTTCCCCTTTTTTCTGGCAACAAAACAGGTGTTAAGATGTTAAAACACCAAACTGAAACCTTTTTACAAGGAATCATGTCTGCATTAACCACATACTTGTGGCCTAACACTGTTTGAGACCGGGCTCGAAAGAAAGCTGTCCGTGGTGTGGACCAATCAGTTTCAAAGACAATGCATATATTATCAGTGTTTTTTTGTTTGCATTCTGACCACAAGTATTGTGGTTAATGCAGACATGATTACTTGTAAAAAGGTTTCAGTTTGGTGTTTTAACATCTTAACACCTGTTTTGTTGCTAGAAAACTGGAAAACCTATTCTCATATTTTGGTAGTGGCAAAGGAGGTCCCATGATATAAATTTACTTAGTGTTGTGCAGTTAAAAGTCATGCAGAGATTCTCTGGCTTGAATGAATAAAACTGTTACTTCTTATCCAGGTGGGTCAAGTGGCTCCTCTCACAGTGACCGGGCTCGATCAGACCCAGCGCAGCACCGACACAACGGAAGCAGGCATTACAACAACGTGGCCCCCACGACGGAATATGACGCCCACAACTCCCAGGTACTTGTGTCGTGTCGTCTGTGCGTGCGGGTGGCGTGTGACGCACACACAGTCAGCCAGAGGTGAGGTGGTCGTAGGAGGCACTACTCTGCCCTCTTTATTCATTGTTGTTGCCGCCCTCACGCCACCACTCGGGGGGCCCCCTCTCTCACACACGACCCGCTGCCGCACGCCCCGTCCCAGACACGACCCTTTCCACGTTGCACCGACGGCGTCGACCGGGACAGCCAACTACTGTCCGGCCGCGCAATGATCGGGCGAAGACGACAGCGACGAGGACGACGACAGCGACGATGAGACGGGTCCAATCCCAGAACCGGCAGCCCAGAGCTCTCGCTCTCCGCTGCTTATATTCCCTCTCGGCGTGGCTTGGCTCCACCCTAGCCGCGCCTCCCTTCTCGAACTGTCGAGGGTTCCAGGGGCTTCCACACGAGGTCTCTAATGACACTTGCTCCAGTTCCTCCACCCTGCCGGCACACCTGCGTATATGCTCAGCAGCGTGTGCGCTAAATGCCCACCTGCAGTTGCTGCTGCTGTCCAACAGTCGGCGCTACGTCACTACACTTGTATCAATCCTCCATGTGCCATAAAACAATACAACCGAGGGTCGGTGGTGGCTAAAGAAGAACGTTTTTAATCATTTCATATCTGCTGTGACATGGATCAGCCGCATGAACATTGGCACCGAAAATGGAACAAAATATTAAAAATGCACAAAGAAGCATGGAGAGGTGCATGCTTCGAATTGCACCGAGAGGCAGAAAGTGGAACACATGGATCACAGAAGTTAGAGACAACATATTGACTTCGGAAAAATTGGTGGGCTTGGATGAGACCAACAAAGATACATCCTAAGGAGGAAATACACCCAAGAGGATGTCTTGTCAGAGCTGGAGTGATGAAAGTAGCTTATGTACAGGAACTACATTGTTGCATTGCAAGATCGTGAGATGGCGATGGTGTGTGGGGGAGGTCTTCATCCAGCAATGAATAGATCATGGCTGATTTAATGTTGAACCATGAATTGTATAATAATAATATACCTGACAAATTACTTCCTTACTCTTTGGTTCTTTCGGTAAAGTCACGTAGGTGAAAAAAATAGAAATAAATAAATCACGACGTTTCGATTGCAACACAAGCAATCATCATCAGGTGTGACAACCACAGCAAGGACATTTTTTACTGAAGTGTGAGAAGAGACCAGGGTTAGGGCAGTTAAATAAGTCCGAGAGGGGGAGGGTAGGGGGGGGTGAATGATGCGAGGAGTGCGTACACTGCAATTACAGCAGAGACGCTGAGAGTCAAAAGGCAACATGATTGCTGCCAAGATAGATGATGACATCCAAAGCAAAATAGCCACACTGCTAAACGCTGAGGATGCAATTAACTCTGTAAAATAGACTAATACCCGGTAAATAAGATGGAACAACTATGAAAAGTTAAATTTTACTTGGTTAATAACATCTTTCCAATGATTGCTCAATTTATATCCGTCCTCTCGGTTGAAGTTATGTCTGTTTATATATCTGGATGGCTTCATGAACAAATCGTTGATGGTAGCCAGACGGCTTGCAGAGCACCTTGGTCTTAGAGAAAACAATATCATGGGAGCCCACAGCGTTATAGCAATGATCAACAACGGCTGAGGAATTGGTTCTGCCGTCTTTCAGATCTGACTTATGCTCGCGGATCCGGTCAGAGACATGACGTTTCGTTTCCCCAATGTAACGATCACCACAGATGCAACTTAGTTTGTAGACTCCAGGGTATTGCAAGTCAGGAATGACATCCTTCACAGATGGGATTAGATCACGGATTTGTGTACTGTACTGAATCGGACCTGCATCTTGTGTTTGTTTAAGATTTTAGCAATCTTTTTGGTAACGCCTGCTATGTATGGTAACGTGATGGTTTTAATCGGCGTCTCAGGGAGTTGTTTCTCCATGTTTGGAGAGAGCGCATTGCGGATAATACGGTCCGAGTATCCATTCATCTTGAGGACCTGCGTACATGTTCCAGCTCACTGGCCAGGTGGTGTTGGTCAGAAATGCAGAGGGCCCTATGGTGCAGGGTTTTCATGACCTCGTCAGCTTTGATGTGGTTTCTCTGTTCACTAAGGTTCCTATCTGAAACCTGAATCCCACCACCACCCGGCACAGAATAATTCCCTCATCAAAACCCTGCACCATAGGGCCCACTGCATTTCTGACCAACACCACCTGGCCAGTGAGCTGGAACACGCACTCCGGGTCCTCAAGATGAATGGATACTCGGACCGTATTATCCGCAATGCTGTCTCTCCAAACATGGAGAAACAACCCCCTGAGACGCCAATTAAAACCATCACGTTACCATACATAGCAGGCGTTACCAAAAAGATTGCTAAAATCTTAAACAAACACAAGATCCAGGTCCGATTCAGTACAGTACACAAAATCCGTGATCTAATCCCATCTGTGAAGGATGTCATTCCTGACTTGCAATACCCTAGAGTCTACAAACTAAGTTGCATCTGTGGTGATTGTTACATTGGGGAAACGAAACGTCATGTCTCTGACCGGATCCGCGAGCATAAGTCAGATCTAAAATACGGCAGAACTAATTCCTCAGCCGTTGCTGATCATTGCTATAACGCTGTGGGCTCCCTTAATATTGTTTTCTCTGAGACCAAGGTGCACTGCAAGCCGTCTGGCTACTATCAAAGATTTGTTCATGAAGCCATCCAGATATATAAACAGACATAACTTCAACCGAGAGGACGGATATAAATTTTGCAATCATTGGAAAGATGATATTAACCAAGGAAAATGTAACTGTTAATAGTTGTTCCATCTTATTTACCGGGTATTAGTCTATTTTACAGAGTTAATTGCATCCTCAGCGTTTAGTAGTGCGGCTATTTTGCTTTGGATGTCATCCATCTTGGCAGCAATCATGTTGCCTTTTTACTCTCAGCGTCTCTGCTGTACTTGCAGTATACGCACTCCTCGCATCATTCACCCCCCCCTACCCTCCCCCTCTCGGACTTATTTAACTGCCCTAATTCTGGTCTCTCTCCCACTTGAGTAAAACATTTCCTTGCTATGGTTGTCACACCTGATGATGATTGCTTGTGTTGCAATCGAAACGTCGTGATTTATTGATTTTTTTTCACCTACGTGACTTTACCGAAAGAACTAAAGAGTGGATCCTTGCAGTCGCGAAAACTTCAAATATAGAATGAAATTACTTCCTGTAAACTGTCTTCATAGTGACTTTGGTCCTGAAAAACTGAATTGAGAGGTTTTTAACATGTCGGCTTTCGCGACCAATATCCATAATAGAGGTTTCTTTGGGTTAAATCGCGTAAATATATAAATGTGTCGTTAAATCCCGCCACCACCCGACACAGCCAATTAGAAAGGGTTGTCACGTAAACAGCATGTCAATTCGTCACTAGCACAGCACACCGGTGTGTTGAGGAGCCAAACTACAACATTTACAATCTGGCTGTCGCCTGATGAAGCTAGTTGTAATTACTGGCGAAACGTCGTACTCAGATTGTAAATGTTGTGGCTTGGTTCTCCAACACACCGGTGTGCTGTACTAGTGACGAATTGGCATGTTCTGTTTACGTGACAACTCTTACTAGTTGGCTGTGTCGGGTGTAGGTGGGTTTTAACGACACATATTTACGCAATCTAACCCAAAAAAACCTTTCATGGTTGAGAGGTTTTTTTATTTCGTTTATACAATGTAAGTTATGATGTAACGGTTATGCAGAATCGTTTAACTGAATGTTCCGTATGTTTCTATTTGCAGGCGTATCACCAGTCCCACATGGCGTGGACCACAGGGGATTCATCCACACAGACAATGTTGTCTCCGGAAAGTGGCACAACAAACTACAATCACCTCGTGTCTCAGCAGGCTGCTCATTCTCATGGCCACCACCGTTCCCAGCACCACCACTCCCACGGCCATACGTCACGCCAAACAGGGCATTTTACTCATGCAAACAACTCCGCATTGCATACGAACAATCCACCGGCTCATCTGAACAATCCTCACTCCAATCCACAGCCATCCTACTCGCACAGCCAGTTAGTAATACAGTCCAACACTCAGCCAGGACATTCAAATTTCCAACCTACAGGACAGCCAATCGCTCACCAAGCATCGCAGAGCAATGCCAGGCACCGGGCCTTCAGGCAGCAGGTGTCTGATCCTTCTCCGAATGTTCTGCTCGGACCGGACCCGTTAGACTGCACCCAGGCTGGTTCGCTCGGCCTGCCTCTTACCTCAGGCCTCCGAACACGAACAGTACTCACAGGAGTGGCTGGGGGCTTCCTCACGGGGACTAGCAGCAGCAGTGCAGCCACTGCCTTGGGATACCCCTACCCTGCTGCAGGACCAGGACTCTACACAGGAGAGGGCCGCTCTGCTCACTACACGTCCGATGGACCTCTGGGCTCAAGGCCGGCTCACTACGGGGCAGATGGACCGCTCAGCTCACGGCCAACTCACTATGGAGCAGATGGGCCGTTGGGTTCCCGCTCAGCCCCTGACAGGGAAGACTCTCCCATGATGGGCGTGTGTGTTCAGCAAAGTCCTGTGGCAAGCTCCTGATGACCATTATGAAGAATGCTTTGGAATGGTGTATGGGAATACGAAGAGAGGCTCTGCTGAAATTCCCAAAGTCAGCGTGTGGGAATTAATGCTTATGAAATAAAAAGCATCTTGAGTTTTGGTCTCAGGGACATAATAATGAACTGGTTTGTTGGTATGGACCGAGTTTTAGCACCTTCCTGAAAACACGGCTTCTCTTCCCCATACTCCCAGCCGGAGGCCAGAGGGAACACTGAAGGGGCATGTTGATCGAGGGCACACTTATGCAGCATACGGTGGTCCGAGTGGCATGTTGATCGAGGGCACACTTATGCAGCATACGGTGGTCCGAGTGGCTAAACAAATCAAATGTGCAAAGACCCTTCAGTTCTGCTCTTGCATGTGGTAGAAATCCTTCCTTCATTGTTGGCAGTCGACACTTGTGTGAACATGCGCACACCTGTTTGATTGTATCAGCTTTCCTATTGTAAAGCATTGCTCGTCACTTGAGTTTGCTACTTTACAGAAAAAAAGTATACCTTGACAAAATTGTGGTACCCAGAGCAGAACATCCTTTTTGTGCTGTGATGGACATCATGGACAGTTTTATAGTGAACTAACCAATGCCATGAACAGTATATACAGTACGTTTCTTCATTCTCTTGTAATGTCATTTTACAACTGATACCGAGGAGATGGGGAATCAGTTGCCCCTTTTACTACACTAGAATATACAGTTGAAGCATGCAAGCCTGCCAATTCACAGATTCATATTTCCTACAATCATGTTTTCCTTCATCCTCAATTTATGTATTTTGAAATGACTTTTGGTATCCCGTTCAGCTTAGTTTTTCTAAATCGAATGTGTTTAATAACTTATTAATTTTGTTGACAGCGGTATTTTTAAAGCTATTTTAAAAAGTAAAAAAAAACTTAATGGGGTGAACTGTGGAGCTTCGACGTTCAAACAGATTGTTTCATTGGTAACAAGACAACATCAATATCCAATACCATGTTTCTCCTTAGTATTCCTTCATTTCGACACGCATCTTTCTTCAACCATTGAAGGGACTTTTGCTGTCATTTTTTAGGTGGGAGGGTGGGAGGGGGGGGCAGGTAGAGAACTATTAGAACCACATTGTAAAAAAATGTATTTCTCATGCACACTTGCTTATTTGATTACTTTTTCTGCTTTTACAGTCAAGTACCCTGCAGGCCTGATGCTTCATTTCTCTGTATAGATTTTGTTAATCCGTTACTGGTGGTTGCGTTTCTGTTGAATTTTTGTATGGTGCTTTTTTCATCTGGCGCTTGAAATACACCCCATCCCCAAACTGGCAATTTAAGCATAACATTGCTTAGTTTTGAGTAATGGCTTTGTTTTAAACTTTTTTTTTTATAGAAAAGAAGGTTCAGAGGAGGTTTGCGATGTTTGTTTTATTGGCTTTCTGTATGATTTGGTCCAAAATTACTTTTTAGTTTCCCCCCACAGTAACAAAAGCTTGAACTTTACAAATCATGCACACTACCAGTTTGTTCCCTTTAATTTTATATAGCAGAGTTGGAAGTAGTGACAATTTTATACAGTGCAGTTATACAATTTTAATTGTTTAACAACCAACTACGTTTTACTTTAGTATGCAATTCTTAAAACACCGTATGTTTAGGGAACAAAATAATCCAGTCCACCCTACAACCCTTCCACCAGACATGTAGCTGTCTTGTTTGTGCTCACATTGTTTAGGATTTAGATTTTTAGCGATCACTCGGTGATTTAAGTAGCGGAGGATGACACATTGGCAGCAGCACTCTGTACTTGGTTAAACGCCTCATTAGCTTCAGTAAATACCTTTGGGACAAAAAACCAAAATAAATGTTGCCCATTTTTCATTCTAAGTACATTCAGATGCTCCAATTTCAGCATTGTTCTGGCCTTTGGGTGATACAGTTGGCTGCTTACAAGCAGCTACAACTGATGAAGTTATAGAGCCGTGGATGTTGGAAGGGTTAATTGTGTAAGATGTAGCAGCAGTGCTAAACACTGGAGTGGTGCACTGTAAATATAACTTCACGCATGTGAAAAAAGCTATTTGACTATTTGTTGCTTTAAGTGCTTTTATCTAAATGACTGTAAATGGCAAATTATGGAATAACGGTTTCTGTGCTGGAGACTGCTGTATTATAAAATGCATTAATGTCTATAAGTATTAAATTCATTTCTCCAAATGCAGAGTCAAATCATTTTTTCCATGTTAACACTGCTATCACTTGTGACATTAACATGTCGGGGGGAAACTAAAGCACAGTCCCCGGAGTAGTCTTAAGAATCACCCCCACAGCATTGGAGTTAGGGTTTGGTGATCCAACACCGACCACAAGGTGGTGGCGTCTTGAGCCATCTGGAACTGCAGAAGCATGGTTGGCTGTTTGACAGGCTGGAAATCCATTGATGGATATTCCTCTGCTATGTTTCCGTATCAGGCTGAGGTATTATAACATTTCACTGCATTCAGTTGTAAGATACAGGAGGTGCTTTATCAAATGTGTTACATATATTTTGTTAACACATTTCCCTGAAAGCAAATTTTGCAGCTATTACATTGTAATACAGTCGTGGATTTCATGCCACTGCCATAAGCCAGGAGATAAATAGCGTTGATTCTCACATTGCACAGTCGGAACATCTTCACTTTTGCAATGCATTCTTCCTTAAAAATGTGTGGCGATAAGAGTGGACAGTTTACATGAAATAACCTATCTGCAAGTCGCGATCTGGTCTGAGCGAATATTCCGAGTGTACAGTGAGTGAACCAGCAGCCACCTTTGATCTTTAAGTTCCCATGCATACACACTTCACGTTAATTATGTTGATAACGCTGCCGTTTTGGAAATTGAAATTGCTTCTATTTAAAGCTTTTCGTGACTGCAAGGATTCATCTGTGCTCGCTCCAGCGCTGTCCTCCAGACAGTCTCGTCCCTTCACCTGATGAAGGCCGCTTGTGTTGTGGCCGAAACTTCGTGAGAATTTTATTGTGTTATTTTATCAATTTATTATTTTATTCTCATTCTACGTGACTTTACCGAAAGAACCAAATAAGATGAAATAGCTTCATAAGGTCTACATTTGTCTTGTTTTTTAACCTCTCTAATGCCCTGTGGGCTGGCCCTTAGCCACGCACGGGTCTGCCGTTTCGAGACCGGGGTCGTTTTTGCATTGGTCTTGTTCATTTGTTGATTGGATATGACTCTCCCACTCATCTACGTCTTGTGGGGAAAATCTACACAGGAGAGGCTCAGCTCCTCGGACCTCAGCAATGCACCTCCAGATTCTTGGGAATGGGGCCTGTTAAGTGTTCCCCAGGCAGACCCTCCCATGGTCGTGCGGCCTGACTCCGAATATTTAATTGCTTTGGATGAATCCGATGAGCTATACAACTTTTACATGTCCAGTAGGGACAGGTCACCCCTTCCACCAAGCACCCCCAGCCCACCACACCTGGGTATAAACCCTCAGCGATTGCTCCGACATCAGACTTCTACGCTGTAAGCCAGTGTTCATTCTTGGCTTGTGTGCGTGAGGGTTCAGTGTGCGTGAACACGGCTCCTGGAGTGTGCTATCAAACGATGGGGCCTCCCCATCAGCCCCACAAAAACAAAGCACCTGGCTGGGTATTTTATGCCGTAAAACGCTCCCCTTCCTCAACTCCCCACGAGTGATGGGGCAGTTGTGGGAGAGAGTGGAGAAGTTTCTGAACTTGAGCAGTGTACTTTTGACTTTTTCCTGTTTTGCAGCCCAGACCTCCGAATTAGTCGAGCAGTATTATCTTTTCATCAGCTGCATAAGGCTGTGTGGAAGCTCACTGGCCTGTCGCGCCATACAATGCTCCGGGCCTTCTCGGTCGCAGTTGTGCTCTCCCTTCTATATGCTTGCGAAACGTGGAGCCCTCTATAAGGAGGAGTCAGTTGGCAGGACGACGGAGTCAAGTACCTGGGGGTTTACCTGGGGAAACCACGTCGCTCTGAACAACTGGACCGAGCTGGCCGACACAATCGAGGCTAAATTACTGACATGGACGCGCCTCGCTCCGCAGATGTCCTTCAGGGGCCGAGTGCTCGTCGCTAACACCCTAGCAGCGTCCGTGCTGTGGCACAAGACCAAGGCCCTCCAGCCTCCTGCTTGGCTACTCACCAGAGTCAACCGCTCACTCGCGCACTTCGTCTGGCATGGAAAGCACTGGCTCAGGCGGGGCGTTCTCTGCCTGCCGGTGGGCGAGGACTGCCAGGGTCTGGTGGACGTTGCCGCCAGGGTCATGAGTTTCAGGGTCATGGCCGTCAGGCGGCTGCTGTACGCCCGGGAGGAGTTACCCTGGAAGTCGCCGCCCATTTGCCCTGCTGAGGAATGCAGGGGGGTGCCTGGGGTATGGAAAGGAGCTCTTACTGATGGACCTGAGCCTGTTCGACTACACGAGGCTGCCAGATTATCACCAGAGTCTCTTGGACGCGTGGCGGAGCTTCGAGTGGAGTAAAACGCGCGCGCCCTACGACCTCGCGCACTTCCTGAACGAGCCCTTGTTCCGCAACGGCCTCTTCCAGGGGATCAGAGGAGGGAGGACCCTGGCTCTACGCCTCACATCAGCAGGGCTGCGGACAGTCTTCCACCTCGTGCAGGCCCACCAGCGCAAGTGGAAGACCACAGCTGAGATCGCCAGCACCGCGGGACTCCGTTCCATGCTCGCCGGGGAGAAGCCGCTGCGGGACGTGCTCCGTGCCATTAAGGAGCTGCGCCTGAAGCTGGAGGCGCCGGGTGACGGTGGTGGCCCCCCCCCCTCCTCCTTCCCGGAGTTGTGCGTCTCCTGCGCGCAGCCCCCCGGCCACAGCGACTCCGGCAAGCTACTGAAGCTCCGAGGCTGCAGGAACGTGCCCCTGAAGAGTGCCCCAAACACAGCGCTCTACACGTGGCTGTGTCAAGGCGTTGCATTCCTGGGACCTTGCCGACCTACCGCACACAAAATGGAGAGACCATTTCTCTCCCCTCATTGCGGCCGCCCCCCAGTGGAAACAAATGTACAAGTCTCCCGTAGCCAAACGGTGCGAGGACCTCCAGTGGGAGATTCGCACACTCCACGTTGCCATAGGCCGTGTGGCCCAGCCGAATCTCGCCGGGGGTAACAGACTTGGTGCATTTCGTGCGGTGCCAGGGAGGATCTGCCCCACCAGTACTTACGCTGTCAGCGCCTCAAACCAATGTTCCGCCTTTTGGGGGACATCTTCAGGAAACTGGGGGTGCCCTTCTACAACAGCAGCTTCGTATATGGGGTGGTGCCTTACCTGGGCTAACAAGCGCCATGACCTCGCCAACTTCGCCTGTGCTCAGGCGAAGATGGCGGTGTACAGAACGAGGAACAAGATGCTGGAAGGTGACACCTGCGGGGGCTAATGCCCCCCTCCCCACTAGGTGGGGGCTGATCTCCCCCTCCCCACTCCCCGCGAGCGGGTGGGGTGCGACATCTGCCCCCTCCACCCCCACTTGCGCGTCCTAACCGCGTGGATTACGTAATTGTTTGACTCGCCGCTGTGTGGGGTTTAATGAATAATTTACACTAAGCCGTTGTGTCAACAAGGCGAAAGCTCCCGCGCGGTCCGGATATTAATAAATTAATCGGCGCTTGCGCCCCCCCCCCCACGCGTTTTCTCCGCGCGACACTCGCACGTGTCTCACCGTTAACACTGCGGTGCACACACAGACACACGTGACACTCGCACGTGTCTCACCGTTAACACTGTGGTGCACACACAGACACACTTGACACTCGCACGTGTCTCACCGTTAACACTGCGGTGCACACACAGACACACGTGACACTCGCACGTGTCTCACCGTTAACACTGTGGTGCACACACAGACACACGTGACACTCGCACGTGTCTCACCGTTAACACTGCGGTGCACACACAGACACACGTGACACTCGCACGTGTCTCACCGTTAACACTGTGGTGCACACACAGACACACGTGACACTCGCACGTGTCTCACCGTTAACACTGTGGTGCACACACAGACACACTTGACACTCGCACGTGTCTCACCGTTAACACTGCGGTGCACACACAGACACACGTGACACTCGCACGTGTCTCACCGTTAACACTGTGGTGCACACACAGACACACGTGACACTCGCACGTGTCTCACCGTTAACACTGCGGTGCACACACAGACACACGTGACACTCGCACGTGTCTCACCGTTAACACTGTGGTGCACACACAGACACACGTGACACTCGCACGTGTCTCACCGTTAACACTGCGGTGCACACACAGACACACGTGACACTCGCACGTGTCTCACCGTTAACACTGTGGTGCACACACAGACACACGTGACACTCGCACGTGTCTCACCGTTAACACTGTGGTGCACACACAGACACACTTGACACTCGCACGTGTCTCACCGTTAACACTGCGGTGCACACACAGACACACGTGACACTCGCACGTGTCTCACCGTTAACACTGTGGTGCACACACAGACACACGTGACACTCGCACGTGTCTCACCGTTAACACTGCGGTGCACACACAGACACACGTGACACTCGCACGTGTCTCACCGTTAACACTGTGGTGCACACACAGACACACGTGACACTCGCACGTGTCTCACCGTTAACACTGCGGTGCACACACAGACACACGTGACACTCGCACGTGTCTCACCGTTAACACTGTGGTGCACACACAGACACACGTGACACTCGCACGTGTCTCACCGTTAACACTGTGGTGCACACACAGACACACGTGACACTCGCACGTGTCTCACCGTTAACACTGCGGTGCACACACAGACACGTGACACTCGCACGGGTCTCACCGTTAACACTGCGGTGCACACACAGACACGTGACACTCGCACGTGTCTCACCGTTAACACTGCGGTGCACACACAGACACGTGACACTCGCACGTGTCTCACCGTTAACACTGCGGTGCACACACAGACACGTGACACTCGCACGTGTCTCACCGTTAACACTGTGGTGCACACACAGACACACGTGACACTCGCACGTGTCTCACCGTTAACACTGTGGTGCACACACAGACACACGCGACACTCGCACGTGTCTCACCGTTAACACTGCGGTGCGCGCCGGCGCGGGCAACCGTTGATATTTTAATATGCGCGCGCGTCACACCCACACTGATTTATAGTC